AGTGAGGTGCCAGTTAATTGCTGGTTCCCTGGCCCTTTGCCAGCCCATTGCTTAAACACAGCTACAGAAAACTGGCTTCCATCTTTCCAAACTTCCATTTTTCTCATCTTTAAAACAGGCACAGTAATACGATGCGCCTCAAGCTGGTGTAGGATGGAGTGAGGCCAGCAAGTGAAACTGGCCAGACAGGCTCAGAGTGCCAGCTCTCTTCATCGTTACCCTCACTGCCATCATCGTGTGCCCCTCCGTGTCCGACTCAGTGGACGGGCGTGTGAGCATCAGTGGCACAGCTAGTTTGAAAGTGCCTGGATGCAGCCCCGCTCCGCAAATAGAACACACCTTTGGCTGAAGGGCTCAGACGCAAGACAATATGTCATCCACCTGTTCCGTGCTGCAGAAGACGAGAACTACCTGTCTTGTGCTTGTGAGGTAGTCAGGGAAACTGAGGAAATGGAAAGTCATTACAGGTGGCATTTTACTCTGATGGGACTCAAGTCAGGCTGGGTTTTGACATTCCTCGCCTGTCAGCATCTTTGGCACTTCCGGCCTTGCAGGGATTTCTGAGTGTCCTGTGTCTTCTGAAACTTCTTCAAAGTCTACTCCCTTCTTCCACCCTCCAATGCCCTCCACCTATGATTTCTTGACTCTTGTACCCCAAAGCCCTTTATTGGTCCTCAAAATTCACTCACTCTCATGCTGGACTATTTTTGTTTGTTTGTTTTTGGTTTTGTCTTGTTTTGAAAGACAGGGTTTCTCTGTGTGGCCATGGCTATACTGGAACTCACTCTGTAGACCAGACTGACCTCAAACCCAGAGATTCATCTGCTTTTGCCTCCCAAGAGCTGGAATTAAGGGCACCCATCACCACCACCCATCTCATTCTGGGATCGTAACAGTATAGACTAGACTTTCTAGATAAAGGTTTGCATTTAAAAATTGCATATGAGATCCTTTACTGTAGTCACCCAGTCCCCCAGTAACCACACAGAAAACTATATTATTTGCAATACTATTCGGCCAATAACTTAAGTGTATTTCTAGCTAACTCATATTTTAAACTAACTCATTAATTAATTTGTGTATCATTAATTTAATTTAGCTTAATCTCTCCACTAATTTGTGTATCACCACGTGGATGTGGCTTACCGGCAAGGTTCTGGTGCATCTGTCTCCAGCAGCTACATGGTTTCTCTCTCTGACCCCACCTACTCTCTCTATATATCTCTTTCAGCCTGGCTTTACATTGTTAAAATTGGCTGAAAGCAGCGTCTTTATTAACCAATGGCAATAAAACATATTCACAGCATACCTCACCTCCCACATCATTTTATATCAGACCCCTTTAATCCACCTGTCTCAGCTCTAGTTCCTCCAACCCTGGCCTTCCATGGGAACATCACTCCAGTTTCAAGGACATGTTGACCCTGCATAGACACAGGCTTCCCAAAGCATAGCAGGACTCAGCAACACCCTGAACCTTCTGAAACAAGGACATATCAACCTCTACAGGCTGTCAAGATGACTCCCCACCCTTCTCTCTCTCTCTTTCTCCCCTATCTACACACACACACACACACACAGAGAGAGAGAGAGAGAGAGAGAGAGAGAGAGAGAGAGATCCTATCATCTCAACACCGCAGTTTCAGCCTAAGAAACCTTCGAGACCAGTGCTGCCATGCTGCAGCTTCCCCCCGCCCCCACCATCTTGCTTCCAGCTCTGTTTATTTTCAGGACTCCATCTCACATCCCTCCATGGGGTCCCAGGTTCTCCATGGTCATAGCCTTGGGGACAGTGAAGCCCACTCAGCAAGGCATTCCACCTCAAGTCTTATCCGAGGTCTGTCCTTCGCCTTCTGTTCCTAGCCAAAGGCCAGCTGCCTTCCGAGGACGGCTGCTGGCCCAGGAGTGGCTCTTCACTGTCCAGAGTCCCTCGTCACTCACTGACCACACGTGGAGACGTCATCCTGGCCACATCCAAGTTTCCATCACTTCTGTTTCCTTAAAAAGGCTCCTGTGATTTGATGCCACAGACTAGACCCCTGATGTACTTTGTCGCCAAGACAGTGACTTGGTAGAACCTTCGAGCTGTGCCAGCAGCAATTTAAAACTCTTTGCATCTTGGTTCATCTCAACTCCCTTGATGCGGGCATGATTACCGCCCCCTTTACACAAGTTAGGACACTGAGATACACACAGGTGACATTCTTGACTGAAGACTCCTCAGACAAAACTGAAAGTCAAGCTAAATCAGAGACATCTGCACCCCACCCCTACTGCAGCACCGTCCACAACAGCCAAGATGGCAGAACAATCTGGGGAGGCAGCAGGGGTTGATAAGCAAGCCTGGAGGACATTGTGCTGGCTGAACCCAGCCAGGCACAGAAAGGCAGATGCAGTATGATCTCACTTAAATGTGGAACCTGAGATGGCCGTGCCCAGAAGCAGCGAGGAGAATGGTGGTTGGGGATTGGGGGAGGGGGGAGTGAGATGTTGGTCGAACGGCACACAGTTCCAGCTTCAAGAGACGCGTGGGACCATATGTGATTAAAGTTAATCACAAGGTATTATATTCATCCGGAGGGAGGATTGTGTTCTCATCTCAGAACACAAGCATGTGAGGTAATGCGGACACTAATTAGCTCAAATCAGCCATGCCCGCAATGTACACATTTTCCAAAGACCACGTTATGCTAATGAAGACATACAGCTTTGTCCATTAAAATGGTTAGTCCTTTTGCAAGATTTAAACTTTTAAAGATGGAGTTGGCACAGGAGTTCAGTCACTTAGCCACCACCACCCCTTAGGGATGACAGAATCCTCTTTGGCACCTGCCTCACTGCCTCTGCTTCCTCAAACCACTCGTGCTCAGAGGCTCACTTCATCCAAAGCCCCTCCTCTGCTCCCTCCATCTTCTTGCCTCCCATCATCCCGCTCTCCATCCCGCTCACTTCACCAGATGCTTGGACCACGTCATTGGCGATAGCTGCATATTATAGACTAGATGTCTGGGCCTCTCTCGAGATCATAGGTTTAGATGCTCACACTTAGTATGAGGGCATTCAGAGTTAGGTAGGTGGTGGGACTGTATCAAGTCACAGAGTGGAGGCTGCATGATGAGATTAGTGCCATTATTTAGGAAAACACACACACAGCTAACTCTCTCCGTGTGTGTGTGTGTGTGTGTGTGTGTGTGTGTGTGTGAAGAGAAGAGAGAAGAGGCCTCAAAATGAAACCTACCCTGCTGATACCAAAGGCTCAAAGGTCTGCTGTTTAAGCTGCCTGTCAAGTGTTCTTGCAGCCTGTGCCCACTACACTGGGCTCTCCACAGTCTCGATTTCAAACTCTGCTTCCTTCCCAGCGTGAGTCCATCATCGGCTCAGCCCTAACACTATCCAGAGTCTATCAACACAGCTGACCACTGACCCAGTCACCAGGGGCTTTCTCTCCTCCACAGTCCACCAGTCCCTTTCAGACTCTCTCCACCACAACACTTGTATGTACTCCCTTACTCCCATCCAGCAAAAACCCAACCTTAATAAAGCCCAGCTTTCCCCACCTGTACCTGATCCAAGAAACCGAACACGGCTGGAGTTCACAGCCTCAGTCACTCATGCAGGGAAGGTCAGCAAAGCCCCGAAGATTCTTTGGCTCTGTCAAGCAACCAGACACTATTCTCCCAGTCTGGCCCTCTTCCTGTCACCTGGTGGCTCCTTGCTGTCTGTCTTCCACCTTCCCTCACCTCTCCCTTCTTCACTCCGCACAGAGTATGTCTGCATGCCTCCACCCCACGGAATCTACTCCCTGGCCATGGCTGTCAAAATCCACTCTATTCAGACTTCCAACCTTGCTGCTTTCCTGAAACCAAGGCCACCACCAGCCTCCCAGCTGTCCTTGTGACCTTAACCTTCCAGCTCACTCACCTCAGAAGCACAGTGTGATGCCAAAGATGACCAGGCTCTTCAGAAAGCAAACACTCAGTTGCGCAGGCGCAGGAGGCCAGAGCTTGTTCTCAGAGGAACCCTGAAACGATGCTTTCAAGTGTTGCCTAAGGCCTTTGAACATCAGGGTGGTTCAGGGCCAGACATGCATTAGAGGATGTTTCTGTCATTAGAAAAGCCACTTGCCTGGGATTACTCCTTAAAAGATGTTAAAGATCTCAGGTAAGGTCCGATCCAGCAGCCAGGTATTCAACAATCACAGCTCATGGCTAAACTGTCCCCCTACTCTTCCCCTCCCTCCATCCGCCATCCTCCTTGCCCTTTCTTTCCTAAATGGAAACTAAACTGACTGACGTATGCCCCCAAAGTCTTCTTGTCTCCTACTTCCTCTCCCATGCGCCTGGCTGGTGTCAAAAACCTGTTCAGGACTTCAGATCTGAGAGCTTGAAATGCCAAGCATAGTATATATGTTATATAATGTATAATGATTACAGCATGTACAATACTATACTCATGTACTCTAGGATGTATAGTGGTAGATACTTATATAATGCATATTTATGTGTTAAGCATCATGCATTTAGACAGAGTGTGTCTGCAGTGTGTGCAGTGTTGTATGTCAGACAATATATAACAGTGCTATATGTTGACTCTCAAGGGTGTTTGATCCTAAGAAGATGAAGCTCCAGCCAAATTGTGTTAATGAGAGGAAAATAAAGCTTTTACCCCAAAATGAATGGAGGTGAAAGCTCAGGAAGGGGGCAAGTAGAGAATCTGATGTCCTGGGACCAAGCTCAGCTCAGCCTCTGTGTGTCCCTGGGCAAGGGTCTTCCCATCTTTATCCATAGTGTAGTGTTCCTGATGAAAAGTGGGGACACTAATAAGATCTTGTAGGAACTTACTGCCACAATTTTTGTAACATTTTTAAAGTCATTAAGATAGAGCATAGTATGCAGCTTGTAATTTATACTTATGGTGTAATTATAACATATTTATATAGTATTAAAAACATACAACAGGATATAAAATATACTTTTATAGTACATGATATTTACAATATATTTATATATTATGATACATTTTATTATATAATTATAAATTGGTTAGACATGTTTCTGGGGCAGCATATAGCACACTGTATTATAATTCACTGTATCACGATAGTCCAATAGATTAGAAACAGCCCTTCTTGCAGGCTTGCTGACAGGTTAAATGGCATACTTGAGGTCTGAAATATCATTCCTGCTTCTCCACTCTCCACAGCAGCAGGGTGTGTGGAAGGACTTTCCTGGCCTTAGACTCTGAATTTGACTGTTACTAGCACGGGCCAGTGAGAAACTGGCAAAGGTTTGAAAAGAACGTGCAACTGGCCTTTTGCCTTTGTGGCCCTAACTTCACACCAGCGGTCGGACCCCACCTCCAGCCCAGAGCCTGGACCAACCAAGCCCTCCTGGATCCCACCAGCCCTGCTGCTGCCCTGCAGGCCTGTGAGAGGGGTCACAATGGCTCCTGAAAATCTGCAGCTGCTTGCTGCTCGGCAGAGGTGTGCACAGCAAGGCTTGCAGATCCCACTATGAGTCAGGAGCAACTTCACGACTTGCACACCTAGGGTACTCATCTGAACGACATTTTGTGACACTAGCTCTTAATTTTCCCGTTTGGAACCTGAACCAGAAGGTGTTCCATTAGTAGCTGACAAAGAGAATTTTGTTAGCATGCTCTCTGGTCAGCACCAGTGTTTGTCACAAACCCTTTGGCCCATCACATCTTCCACCCACCAGTCTAAGCCATGAGTGTTAGAACCTCAGACATAGACCCGGCAAAGAGAGCTGTAGTCGGTCTGTCTTGTCAACCACCAATCTGAAAAAAAAAATGACGTGAAAAGTTATTATTAATTATGAAAGCTTGGCCTTTTGCTTAGGCTTGTCCCCAAGTAGCTCTTATAACTTAAATTAACCTGCTTCTGTTGATCTACATTCTGCTACATGATGTGGTTATATCTCCTCTGTACTGTATGTCTGCCTTGTTTCTTGTCTCACTGGCATATCTGCCTCCCTTCTTCCCAGAGTTCTCTCTCTCCCTGGAAGTCCCACCTATTCTCTCCTGCCAAGCTATTGGCCATTTAGCTCTTTATTAAACCAATCAGAAGGTGCCCTAGGCAGAGATGCATCTTTACAGTGTAAATAAATATTTCACAACATTCCCCACTTTTGTCTAATTAAAAGGCAAAGGTTTTAACTCTAACATAGTAAAACCATATACAATAAGAACGACTATCAAATAAAGATTGCAATTTCAATGTTCAGTCCATTTGTATTTGGCAAATTTGGAGAAATTACTCTATTATCTATACCATCTTGATGAGTCCAAAGTTTTATACCTAAAACATTTTCTATCATAACTTGTATTACTGACCTAAGAAATATCTATTTAGGCCTTAAAGCATTTTTTAGATAAACAACTTAAGCTTTTATGTCTCTCAACCTTTAAAAACTTGGCATTTCTTTTGTAAGAATTTTTTTTTGAAATTTGGTAACAAAGAAAACTATAACTATCTATTTTTCAACCCCATCAGAGACCCAAGAAAGATAAAATACTACCTGAGTAAACAGGAAATGCAGAGCAAGCAACTTCCAAAACTATAGAAATGACAGAGGCATCTGCTGCCTGGACAGTCACCCAAGGTTCCTCTGTAACATTGGGGCATCCATCCTTGGACTATAGGCTTAGAATATGTGATAGACTTTTCTGTGAAGCCAAAATTTTGAAGAACTGTCCTACCCTGGCAAAGCTTGATAGTCACCTTTTTTGTGCCCTGCTTGTCCAATTTGGACAACATACTGTCAGCAGTTGAGACAAGGGTAATTTCTTGCCCAGTGGTTAACTTTTCCACAATGAAAGCAAACTCCATAAGGAGGTTGTTTGTTGCCCATCATACTTTTTGAGGTAAATCAGTGCTGCCAGGAGCAGACATGTCTCACTGCCATGAAATGTCTTATGTTATTAAAATATCTAAAATATCATATTCTATACATTTCTAAAGTGTTTGAGGACCATCTGTCCATCTAAAATATATCTCTATTTGACTTGAAAACATGCCTACATGACTACAAGTTTGATTGTTATAGACGGCTAACTATTCACCTATATTTCTTAATTATCCTAAATAGTTTGTAATAACAGCCTTCAACGACTAGAAATTTACATTACATTGTTAAATGAGATGCATAGGAATAATATCTTAAACAAGAATAGAAACATATATACAATGTGTTAAAAACAAAAATAACCTTAAATTTGTATCAATATACAAAAATCCATACAAATACAAAATATTTGAGATTAATAGTTGCTTTTCAGTCTAAGACTAGATTGAATAATCTACCCTTTTATCCTATCATTTCTATATCCTCCTTTATTCTTTCCAGAAAGAGATCCTTGAATCCAACCTCCCTTGCTTAAATCAATAACAATTTGCAACCAACCCCCTAAATGATGGCAACCATCCATAACACACCAAACACAAAACTACCCAAGCCACCTCTTGGGAATGTGGGCATTGTGTTATCTAGACTGCTTCTTGTTGTCTGGGAGTGATTACATCTTTAGGGGACCCTGAGAAAGTTGAGATAATGATCAAGTCCTGGGAGAACAGTATCATTTGTTGTCCAGACTCTGTGTGATGGTAAAGTGCTGGGCTTATCTGAAGTCCTGGCTGGAGTAGTCTGTGAGGCTGGACCATCTCAGCTAGCAGCACTGAAGTTGTTCTGAAGAATTTTGAGAAAACTGCAACAGAGGAATTCTGAGAGGCTGGGTCGCCTGGACTACTTGTCTTCATTGGTGTCCGGCCCTTTTTTCTCTCCTCTGAACTGTGTGTCTGACTTTGCATCTCCGTGGCTTCCCTGCCTCTTCTTCTACCAAGAGTCCTCCCTTTCCCTGGAAATTCAGCCTATTCTCTCTTTAGCTCTTTATTAAACCAATCAGAAGGCATCTTAGGCAGAGACACATCTTTACAATATAAATAAATAATTACAACACGGAGCTTTCCCAGAGTTCTTATCCCAGTGCAGAGGGACAATGAGGACAGCAAGTGAGGATCAAAGGTCAGAGTACACATCCCAGCACAGACCACAGGTGAGCACAGGGGAGCAAAGGTCAGAGTTCACATCCCAGCACAGACAACAGGTAAGCACATGAGAAGCAGGGGTCAGAGTTCACATCCCAGTACAGACAGACAACAGGTGAGCACAGGGGAGCAAGGGTCAGAGTTCACATCTCAGCACAGA